AGCGCTGGGAGAAGAGGCAGTGGGCGCATTAAAAGTGCCCGGAATCCCTGGCGAGGTGGGAGCTTTTGCTTCCAAAGGGAGTCCCTGGGTAGCGTGAATGGGGATGTGGAGCCGAGGGGAGGCAGTGGCGGGGAGCAGGGTCGGGTGCATCGGGAGGGATGCTCCAAGTCCTGCAAAGAGCTGCTTCTGTTGGCTTTAATTTGGCAGTAACTAGGAAGAGGTCACTGTTCCAGCAGATTTCAAACGCTTTCTCTTTTCCTCAAAAGGTAAATGCTGTCACAGCCGTACCCAGCAGTCCTGAAAACTGCAGTGGCAAGCAGTGTGGTGGGCAGCAGAGCAGTTTTTTCATGTTAGAATTAATGTAATGGTGGGGGGAATGTATGCAAGGACTAGTGAGATGTGCAAAAATTAGATATGCAGAGACGTGCTGTGGAGGATGGAATAGGTGGAGTAGGCTTGTAAGCCGGAGGAGATGATGACTTTTCAGCAGCCCTCTTTTCGGAATAGGTCACCATTCTGAAAGATCTTAACCATGTCATCAGTGAGACAGAAACATGGTGTACACCTAATTGTGAGTGCTCTCACAGCGCCTTTGCAGTGGTTATGTTTTCCTCATTGCCATCAGCTTCCTCAGAAGAATCAAGAAAGATCAGTCCAGAGTGCAGGGTGGAAGGTGGGGTATTGATGGTGGTTACTGGAGCAGGATGTTTAATGAACAGTGGCAGAACTCTGAAACAATGGCTAGAGAAGTAGATAACATGAAGTTGTCATGAGGGGCTCTACAAGTCACTCACGCTTTTAAACTGTTAGAGTAAAATTATGTTGGATTCTTTTTTCCCTGTTTCCCCCTTTTTTCCTCTGTTGATTCATAGCTCCTTTTTTTTTAATTTGTTTCACTTTTCTGATTTTTGCCATGGAATGATTTTAGATAGGAATCTTGTAATTCCTGCCAAGCTGGGAATGATATGTTGCTCTGTAAGTTTCTTCTTACCAGCCCTGTTCTCTTGTCCAGCTGAACGAGCTAGTGGTGGGGGACACCAATGGGAAGCTCTACGTGTACAAGAATGATGACAGCAAGCCCTGGACTGTGCGATCCTGCCAAGGAATGGTGAGTTGTAGACAAAATGTTAAAATGGTCTGTGCCTTTTGATGTATGTGCAGCCTGCTTTCATTGACTATTAAACTCTTAAAGCTTCTTTTTTTCCCCGTAGCTCACATGTGTTGGAGTGGGAGACGTATGCAATAAAGGAAAGGTGAGAGCATCTGAAGCCTCCCCAGCGCTGTCTGTAGGGCATGTGGGTGGTGCTTGGGCTGTTACAGTTATGACATACATTGAGAGCAGAGGAGGAAAGGGACTTTCTGTCTGGGATATACTGTCCCTCAGGAATTTTTAGCGCTACTGTTCTAATAATGGTTCCTTGTTTATATGTAACCTGCATGTGCTTGTGAGCCATATGCAGGCACTCATAAGCAAAGAAACGCATCCTGTCTTCGGGAAGTGTTACTGATTACCAAGTCTCCCTGTGTGAGCCCTGGAAGACTTCAGTGATTTGGAGGTTTCTTACGCTCCCCAGGGGATTTGCTGCAGCAGCAGTGGAGCTGCTCTTTGGCTGTTTGCATTTAAGGTCACCCAAACAAGACTGAGACACAGAAAGTCTAGACAAAGCAAATTCAGTATATCTAATATGACCTTTTTTTTTTTTGACAGTCATTTCTGAGATTAATGCCAGAGCTACTGGGTCTAAAACTCCCAAGTTTGGGCCCACTGCTCTGTCATACTGTAGCTGTCTCTGCTCCAGATGGCAGTGGAGTGGAAATGAGGCTTGAGAAAGCCATACATTGTCTGAGGGCTGCAAGTGCATGTCAGCCTACAGAGAGGAATGAACAAGAACTGCAGGACCTGAGTAGTTTGCATACTGGCTGGAAACTTCACTGTTTCCTCCATAGCATCTCTTGGTCTTGATAGATACACCCTCATTTCTTCCCTTACCTTGCGGGGGGGACGACTTCTAAAAGAGGAAAAATCAGAAGGTGTTTTCCTTCCCTCACAGAACCTGGTGGTGGCCGTGAGTGCTGAGGGCTGGTTTCATCTTTTTGACCTGAGTTCTCCAGCTTCAAAACACCCAGATTCCTCAGGCCACCATGAGTTGTTGGCAGCAGCAGAAGAGCAGAAGCCGGTGTTCAAGCAGCACATTCCTGCCAACACCAAGGTCATGCTGATCAGTGACATTGGTGAGTGCTGCAGCAGGGGTGAGAGTACAGGGTGAGCGACTCAGTGGGTGTGAGGTAGTGGGGGAGGATAGAGAAGGTCATAGGGAAGGTGTCAGGATGCAGAAGGAGGTGACCTGCTCAGGCAGCTGCTCTAGCAAACGTAGCCAAGTACTTGAGAGAGGAGTAAACTTCAGGGCTCTTCGTACAGAATTGGGATCCCCTGAGATGCTGTCTGGTAGAAACCCAACACTGGTTTCTGAATGTTGGGGGTGTGGGCCTGTGAAAACCTGAGAGGCTCATCCATCTCTGTATCTCCTGCAGATGGAGATGGGAAGTGTGAGTTGGTGGTGGGTTACACTGACAGGGTGGTGCGGGCCTTCCGCTGGGAGGACCTATCTGACGGCTCCGACCACGTCTCGGGACAGCTGCTCCTGCTGAAGAAATGGCTTCTAGAAGGTCAGGTAGGAAACAGAATACTTGGAGCAGAACAAGCCAAATACAGTCTTCATGAGGTTTCTCAGGTTAAGGGGTATAAAATCTCAGTCCTGTGAGCAAAGAATTTATTTCTTGTTTGGAGTGGGGGTGGCTTGAAAGGAAATTTTCCCTGCAGTTGTCCTGTGTGTATGCAGAGCAGATGGTTGGCACGGCCTGGGAAACAGTCATCAGCTCTCGCAGGACTCGAGAGACGTTTTTCCCTGGGTGTTCTTAAGTGGCTTTTGGTAGGAGATCCTTTTACTGTAATTTAGATATTTTGCCCCTCTAGATAAATTTGTTCATCCCCTGCTGATGATTTCTAGCACAAAATCTGTCACTTTTAAATTTTGATACAAAATGCACAGTGGAGTCCTTTGAGGTGTATGAAGTTCTCAATTTGACTTGCTCCATGTTTTTCCCATGCCATTACAGGTGGACAGCTTGTCTGTGAACCCGGGCCCTGATGGCTCACCTGAGTTAATGGTTTCTCAGCCTGGTTGTGGTTATGCTATTCTGCTGTGCACCTGGGACTTGGAGCAGCAGCCCACGCCAGAGGGAAGGGACAGCTCTGCCCCAGGCAGGTGAGCAGCATTTCTGCAAGGGTTCGTAATGAGATTCTGCTCTGCAAGCCTCTCACAAGCAAACACCATCACATCAAGGGGCTGTGGGGAGCTGCAGTTCATGTTCACTGTCTTGCTCTGCTGCTGGGAGTCCATGACTTGTCCCAGTCCCTTAACCTCACCTGCACCCTGTGAACTCCTTTGGATACTTTCATCACAGACGTGTGCAACCTTCCGTGCATCTCACTCTTTACTCCCGGAGTTGCATAAGGAAAGTGATAAGACCAGTTTGCCAGGGCAAGGCAATATCCAGGGCTAAGGCACTGGATAAGGAAGGAGAGCTGCTTGTATCTCCAGAGAAAGAGGAGCAGGTAATATGAGGACCTATCAAAGTGGTGACTATTAGCTGGACTAAGGCCAGCGAGTCAGAAACCCTGGGACAACACTGTGGGTTCCCTGTTTTTTTCCAGAATTGGTAGCTGGAGGTTTTCCTAATGAGACCCTTGACAAGTGCTGTAAATCAAAACCCAAGTAGTCAGGATGAGCAAGGAGGTTATTGTCCTTGGTACTTCCAGACCCCTTGTTGGGAACTGGGATGTTCCTGGGGTCTTCTGAGAGACTTAAAGGCTAACACAGGAAACTGAAGTAGGAGGGGGTTTACCAGTGGGCAGCTTTGCTCTGAGCTGCGTGGCAAAGAGCTGAAGGTCATGCCAGGGTCCCAGGGGCAAATCTTCTTGATTTGTTAGAGACATTAGTAGACACAGTACTCGTCTAGCCTGGACCCAGGCACGTGAATCTGTTCTGCTCCAGTCAAATGTTTTTCCTGAGTTAATGGCAGCCAGGATTACATAAAAGTCATAGTAAGAATGGTAAGAATTGCTCTTCTCCCCTTGATTGGAATATATATATGGTTTTTTTCACTGTCTGATTTTTGGACTTTTATGTTTTCTCATATATATAAAATCACTCTTTTTTTCTGAACATTGGCAAGCTCCTTTTATGCTCAAGGAGGCATGCATTCTTCTTCTTAGTCTTCATCAGTAAATAATCCCTCAGTCAGAATTGATCTCCTCTGTCAGTCTTTACTGCTGAGTCCTTCACTTGCAAGTTAGCCTGTGCACAGGCTTCAGCCACATCTGGCCTTCGAGAGCTCTGGAGCGGCCTGAGCACAGGATTGCTCTGGCACAGTCCCTGCCATGATGTCTGTCTCTCTTCTCCCCAGGGAGGCACCTGTTCGAGATGTTGTTCTCCACCAGACATCTGGTCGGATCCACAACAAGAATGTTTCCACTCATCTCATCGGTAGCATTGGCAGAGGTAAGAGACTGGAAGCCTTGGGACTCAGACCGAGTAGTTGTGCCTAGCAGAGCTTGCCAATGCGTCCAGCATGAGACTGGATTTCCTGTGGTAGGAAAATCACAACTCTGGTAGGCAGCTACAAGGACAGATGTTGTTGGTTGTTCTTCGCCTTTGCCCAGCATAGCAGCTTCTCTGCAGCCCCCACTGCCTCA